CCATCTGAGCCACCAGGGAAGCCCCTATGGCAGAAAGGGATGAACTAAAGAGCCTCTTGATGAAAGTGAAAGAGGAGAGTGAAAAAGCTGACTTAAAACTCAACATTCAGAAAATGAAGGTCATGGCATCTGGTCCCATCACTTCATGGGAAATAGATGGGGAAAGAATGGAAACAGTGACAGTGATTTTGGGCTCCAAAATCACTGCAGATGGTGACTGCAAGCCATGAAATTAAAAGACACTTACTCCTTGGAAGAAAAGTTATGACCAACCTAGACAGCATATGAAAAAGCAGAGGCATTACTTTGCCAATGAAGGTCTGTGTAGTCAAAGGTATGGTTTTTCCAGTAGTCATGTATGGATGTGAGAGTTGGACTATAAAGAAAGCTGAGCACTGAAGAACTGATGCTTTTGAACTGTGGTGTTGGAGAAGACTCTTGAGAGTCCCTTGGACTGCAAGGAGATCCAATCAGTCCATCCTAAAGGAGATCAGTCCTGAATATTCATTGGAAGGACTGATGCTGAACCTCCAATACTTTGGGCACCTGATATGAAGAACTGACTCATTAGAAAAAGACCCTGATGCTAGGAAAGATTGAAGGCAGGAGAAGGGGACAACAGAGGATGAGATGGCTGGATAGCATCACTGACTCAATGGACATGAGTTTGAGTAAACTCCGGGAGTTGGTGATGGACAGGGAGGCCTGGCATGCTGCGGTTCATGGGGTCTCAAAGAGTCAGATATGACTGAGTGACTGAACTGAACTGTGTTTCTTGGACTTATCTGATTTTGCCACGGGAGCAAATCCTGATTGATGTGGAGAAATGATAGACCACAGAGAGAAAAGGAGAGCAGCCTCAGCAGACAGCTGCCAATTCGCCCAGCTGACCTGCAGTTGACTATAGTTATCATTTTTTAAAAAATAGCATCTTTTCTCCCACCTCCTGCACTCTTTATCTCCTTCAGTGTTTTACACTTCTCTGGCACACTTATCATCAGATATACTTCATATTTAGTGGTTGACTTATCTGAGCAGATAAACCCTCCAGAATGTGTGTGTGTGTGTACTCAATCGCTTCAGTTGTGTCCCACTCTGTGTGACCCCATGGACTGTAGCCCGCCAGGCTCCTCTGTCCATGGGATTCTCCAGGCAAGAATACTGGAGTGGGCTGCCATACCCTCTTACAGGGGCTCTTCCCAACCCAGGGATCGAACCCACGTCTCCTATGTCTCTTGCATTGGTGGGTGGATTCTTTACCACTGAGCCACTTGGGAAGGATTATCTTCTAGGCCTGTCTACAGCTTTGGAGGCACACATCGGCTAGAATCATGCCTACATCACGTATTAGCTTTAACAAAGTAAATCTGGTTTAGGTAATGTATTAATTTCTTCTGTAAAATGGGGCTGACAGTGTCAAGGTTACAGAATTTTTAAGAGAGTTTAATAAGTCATCATAAACGAGGCACTTCACACAGCACCTGGCATGTATTAGCTGATCAGAAGTATGAATTTTCGTCCCTTTTTCTCAGTTTCTAGTGTGGCTGTCAACGGGCTGACAAAAGAGTGCCACAAAGCCTGCGGCGAGGTGGTCAGAGCAGAGGCCTGTGTGGATGGAGAACCAGAAGAGAGAGGCAGACAAGAGGAAAGGGCTCTGTCACTAGGACCAGGACCACCTTTATCCCTTCTAGTGTTTTTGTAGAGGATTTAGGTCTTGCGGTATTCTGCCTTGCCCCAATAATTGTATTTCTAGGATACTTCCTGAGTTGGTGCATTACCCAGATCTGATTCATCCCTGGGGAATATGTCTTCCTTTAGCCAAAAGGACCTGACTGCATTAGAGCTGAGGCTAGACAAGCTCAATTATCCAAGGAAATACGATTCAGAATGAATTATGTGTTGGACCTTAAAGCAGGATGCCCATGTCCTACTCTTCATGTATCCCATATGACATTTTAATTATTCAAACGATGTGGAAATGCACTCACTTCACTAAGAACAAATGGAGTTGGGAAAAGAATTTTCTAACACAGCCCATACATCAACCCCTTAGCTGCTTTGACATACATGGTATGTTTATTTCCTGCATCTTTGAGCATCCTCTCTACCACCTAATTTTAAGGCATAAATGTGTTGCTAGAGTTGGTCCTTAGAATAACTGGCTTGAGCATCTGGGTATCCCTAGAACCTGTTCTAAGACTTGGGGAGAAGCCAAAGAACTGCAAATATTTCCTGAGGATGATGAGTTTGTCATCACTGGTTTTACTTCTGAACTGCTCTCACCTAACCTCCGGAATTACTGGTGAAATGACCTGGCAGCCAACCAAGGTGATCAGGACGAATTCACCGGCATCGTCTCTGCGGGGTAGGAGAGGGAAGCAGTGGAGGTGGCAGAAGTGAGATGACGGTGGTGCTGGTGACAGCGCAGGCGGAGGAGGAGGCAAGGGCGGCGGTGACTGGGGAGGGAGCGGTGGGAAGGGAGGTGCTAGCTAGAATGATTCAGAGGCGGCAGAGGTAGCAGCGAGGTCAAGGTGCTGGTAGTGAAAGCAGTGGTGGACGCGGAGCTAGAAGGGTACAGGTTATGATGGAGGTGATGGTGGCAGAGACAGTAATGGCGGTAAAAGTGGTGACATCAAAAGAATTGAAAACACATGTCTGCACAAAAACCTGAGCATGAATGTTCAGAGCCTCATAACTGATAAGAGTCCAAAAGTAAAAACAACGCAAATGTCCAGCAATGGATGAATGGATAAACAAATGTTTTCCATACAATAGATCTTATTTGGCCTTAAAAAGGAAAACTCTGATACATGCTACAACATGGACGAAATCTTGGAAACATGACGCTGAATAAAAGAAGCCAGTCACAAAGGACCACATATTGTACCATTCCATTTATAGGAAATGTTCAGAATAGGCAAATCTATAGAGAGAACTTAAATCAGTGGTTGCCTATGGCTGAGGGAAGCGAAATGGGAATGACTACTAATAGGTATGGAGTTTCTTTGGGGGATGATAAAAATTTTCTAAAATTAGATTGCACAACTGTGAATATACTAAAAACTATTGGGTTATACAAATATTGAATATATTGGCTTCCCTGATGGATCAGATGGTAAAGAATCTGTCTGCAATGTAGGAAACCCAAGTTTGATCCCTGGATTGGGGAGATCCCCTGGAGAAGGAAATGGCAACCCACTCGAGTACTCTTGTCTGGAGAATCCCATGGACAGAGGAGCCTGGCGGGCTACAGTCCATGGGGTGGCCAAGAGTCAGACACGACTGAGCAACTAGCACTTTCACTTTCACACTGGATCATACGTTTTAAATGGGTGAATTTTATGATACACCAGTGAAGCTGTTGAATAAAGTGGAGGCAGCAGTGGTGGTGGCCGTGGCGGGCTCAGTTTGGGGGTGATACTGGAGAGAAGGAAGATGAGAGTTGATTGACACCTAATATACCTCAACCCCTGTACAGCCAAGTCTGAGTGCTACAGATTTTTCCCATGGATTTTTTTTTCCTTCGTGCCTTCTGGTTGAATTACATTCCGCCCATGGCCAACACTGAATCTATGCATAAGAACTTGTGAAATAGATTATAAAAATCAAGCCACGTTTCAATTGCCATTGGATCATGTGTAGAAGGGACACCTTTGCTTTTCCCATATGGTGTCCTTACCAGGCAGAACTGACTTCTTAGGAGTGATGGGACTGTAGCCAGATTTCTTCTTCTCATGTGAGTACAAACTCAGACAGGGTCCACGAAGAAATTAAAGCAGACATCTGGGGTCTATAAGTTTTAATAGTTTTAAACTAGCTACAAAATGTCAATCACATCACAAACTGACAGAGGAGACAGAAGGAATTTAATATTACATGCCGTAATGATATTTATCTCATAGTTTAATCTATATTTCATTCATTTACATTATTTTTTTAAAGGTTTCTTTATCAGCTACTAAATATCTCAGCAATTTGGTGTGCATAGCTCTAGATTAAGCAACAGAGAATTGTACTGATAACAAACCACAGGGGAAATAGTGATTAATAAGAGTCAGCCTTATAAAATTTACATCTCCACACTGTTTCACAGCAAGGTTGCTTTCTCCAAAACACAGTCTTCAAAAGCAGCAAACAAACTCTATATTACATCCATTGGACATAATTTCAGTCAAACGTGTGTTTTGCTGGAAATGATTAAATGGTGAGTATGTCAAACCCATCTTTTTTTAAAATTATTTTTTTTAAAAAAGGATGATTATGGTTGATAAGTTTAAATATTGACAGAAAGAAAGTGACACCACTGCAGTTTTGCTGGTATAACTTAATCTTGACAGTGCCTCAATATTGAGCATGCTTTGTTGCTGTTTTCTGTTGTTGCTGTTGTGTGTGTGTTTTCTCATCAGTATGCTACTGTCATGGAAAGATTTTGTTTAAGTAGGAATCTAAAAATCTATTTAGTTCTCATGCATAAGTGCATAAATCACATCACTTTGAGTGCAATGCCTGTTATGTGATTCCACGTTATCTAATCATGAAATCATAAAGACAGACACCAGCCATGAGGAGCAAAGACAGCGGGTTTTGAGTTTCAGAGCCTGATGCCTGAAGAAAGGACCACGGCAGCAGCTCTGTGGAATGTCACAGTTCTACAAGAACAATACTGTGGATTGAAAGAATCAACAGCACATTGAGCATTCCTAAATTGTTGTCATTCGGCAAACACCACTGAAAAGGGAAAAGGTAAAATGAAACCCGAGACATCTTACATAAAGTGTTAGAGCCACCAAATGACCACTATATACAGCCTGTGGAAAGAAAGAGACCCAGGAAAAACAGAAGACACACAGTATCGTTGGGCTGATGGACGACACAAGACATTCACAATGGGGGCAGGGTGGTGTGTGCATGTGTGCAGACCTACTAGGTTATACCATGAGAAAAGCATGAAGGTGCTAATCTTGCCCAACAGCATTTGGAAGAAGACACAGATGGGCCATTTAACCACTCCCCAGCATCTTTGTTGCACGTTGGTTGGCCTCATCAATTCTGGTTTTGTTGGAATCAGCCTGGAAAAAGGGGAAAGAAAAACAACTCAGTTTACCCATTAAAATGCTATTGGACCCCTTCAGGGTCCAGTTCAAATGCCTCCTATTGGGTGAAGGCATCTTGAAACTTTCCTTTTTATCAGAATGACCCATCCCTTCTTCTGTGTTCCCAGAACCATTGGCTGGACTTGAGCATGATCATAGAAGTTTGACCTCATGACCTAATTCTCATGACTGTTTTCCCTACCACAGACTGTTCTTTGGAGGACAGACATATCATTTATCTTTCTCTTCTGGAATGACACCCAATGACTTCTATGGCAGACACTCACATCTGTTAAACTGAGTTGAATTCCTGCTATTTGCACAGTTCCTAGCGTCACTTTGGCCAGGTTACTTAACATTTTGGGGCCTCGGCTTTCTGCGCTGTAAGCTGGGGGCAGTAAAGAACACTGCTGGCGAGCACAGTTCCACTACTATGTTCCACTCATTCAAGTTGGACAACATCAAGATAGATATCAACACTGAGGTATATACTGTTACTAGCTCCTTTTTCCAAGTGAGGAAACTAAGCAGAGAGGATTTAGGCAATTTTGTCTAATGTCACAGCACTAATAAATGGGGAAACCAGAGTCAGAAGGCCTGGCGTCAGAGTCCACACTGTAATCACTGTTAGCATTTTACTACTTAGGTTTGCTATGAGGATGAAATGAGTTGCTACACATAATGGTCTTGGAATAATGTTTTGCAAAAATGAAGTGATCAATATATCTTATCTTACAATTACTGCTCTTGGGTGAAAACGTGGTTTGCCTTTGCAATATTAAATATCTTTTAGTCCCATTTCTGAAGACTCACTCCTGTGAGCTTGATAACTGGCTTGTTTTAACAGAGACACACTTACTCTCATTTTGTATTTTGACTGACTGCCTCACTGCGTGAGTTCTCTTTTGCTCTACATGCATCATGAAACCCAGGGCTACTACCTGGATATACTTTTAACCTTCAGAAAATGAACTATTCCTAACATCACTGAGGAACATATGAGCCAGCAAGCAGAAGAGAAGACAAAAATTCCTTTCTGGCTGTTGTTTTTGCTCTATTGTGGTTGGCAGTGTTGTTTGTCTCTCTCCAGCCTGGGAAGAGGGGAAGGGAACTGAGAGGCAGTGTAGGGAAACTGGGCTGTTTTTATATCAACCAGCACTTAGCCAGTGATTACTGATTTCACATCAACAACTGTGCTTGGTGCTTTGTAATCTCCACCAAGTTGTGTCTTCTTTATCCAGTTTAGTTGTGAATTCCCGGGACACTAGAGTTATCACTATTCAAATAGAGATTTGCCAAGTGAAAGAAAAATATTTCTAGACTGTTCGTAACTTTGAATTATCTGGCAATAGCTCCTTACCATCTGTTTGGATAGTTAAGAGTTGACTTCAAAATAGATAAGGCAGAACAGTAATTTTCCTTGATGGCTTTGCTCTATAGACTCATAGTTTTGACCTTTAGGTTTGTAATTTGGAAAATGGGTATTTCTCTCCAGTTTTCCTGAAGGGCTTTAGTATTCCCTCTTTAGCTACAAATCCTATCAGAAATAATAACACTTTGATCCAAAGGAAAATTAGAAGCTCAGATCAATGTGAAATGTTCCTTAAGATTGGATTATGCTGATTATTTTTCCAGACTTAACTTTGAGAACTGTTCAAATAAGGAAAAAACATACATTTAAAAACAGACAGCATTTCTGAAGGCAAACATTCTAGGATTTCTTGCATTACGAAGGCACTGGTGAGTCTTCATGTGATGGTACAAGAGGATGTTTTGAATTAGAGCATGAGGCTACTCTTTGGATACCCTCAAAGAATCTGGGAGGAGCTAGAACAGACGTATCGTCAATGAGCATCTGTGTTGTCCACCTCAATTCTTTCTGGAGCATATCAAAATTCCAGTCCATATAATACCTGACACCAAAGGAGCCAAATCTTTATTATATTATATAACATATGTGCTTTTAGGAAAAAAATCCTGAGATGATCTTCTTTTAGTTGTCTTCCTGGTATTTGGAGAATGCATCTGTGTTTACTCTATTTATATCCTGTAGGACATATTTATGCAATATATCCCATCTCTGTTTTCACATTTCTATTTAGAGAATCCTAAACTCGCTAATACACTCAAGATACACTACATAACTTGCCTTTGTGAGGAAACCAGGATGCTGATGCAAAGAACCAGTGAAAGAGGTAGAAGGGCTGTTTAGGGGCTGTTCATGCTTCTGAACACTCTGAAATCTCAACTCCAGACCATGGCAAGTAGCTTTTAGAGCACAGCTCAGACTTCCAGAAGAGGATATCTCTAACTTACATGACAGCCTGTTCTGATCCCAGATTTTAACTGTTCTCTTATTATCTTTCCCCTGGTGAAGGAAATAGCAATCCACTCCAGGATCAGATGAGGAACCAGGTCATGAGGCTGGTGAGCAGGAAAGCCTTGGTGGAACTCAAGATCTTAGTTTTCAAACACCATGCTTCCATACTGATGGGAGAATGTGAGCAATGCTCAATCTTCAGCTTTACTTTTAACCTATTTTAATGTGTGCATCGCATCTTGCACTGACAATTTTAAATCCAAGTTTGAACATTATTCCTTAGCAACAGTTCCCATAAAGACATGACAGAAACTTGCCCCATTTTAATAGATTTCTAAAAGAATCATACAATTTCAACCTTAGAAGATTACCTATTTATAAATACCCTAAATCAGAAAATAGGGTTTTTAAAGGGACAAAGTAATTTCTTGACAGTCCATAGGAATGTACTGAAGGCTGCATTATTTTGGATTCCCAAAACTTTACTACTAATTGAAGTGAGGAAAAAGGATCATGATTGGTGGGGTTGGGTGAGGGTGGTTGTTTGGGTCATGAGAGAATGTGGGAGAAATAGAAGATTCTCTTTAGTCCTACAGTATGATTTTAATCCTAGATATGCAGAAGATCTTTGCACACCATTTTCTATGATCAGAAGTAAGAACTTGCAAAAGAAGGTAGAAGTCTACTAATAATCATGTAACATGTATCATTTGGGGCAATGCTGAATTGAAATGGGCTTTATATCAATCATATCCACATTGTTGTTTTGAGGAAAAAAAGGCTAGTTATTTGAAGGCAACTAGACCCTTGCCCCACTTCTTAAGCAATTCAGCATCCAAGGATGAGATAAATTATAATGGCTATTTCCTATCCTCTTGCCTGACTTTTGATAAAACCCTATAGCTGCACAAGTCTCGGCTCTGGTAAACTAGGCCCAGAATGAAAACTTCCCCCCTAAAGAACAGACCTAGAAATGTGAAGTGGTAGATTAAGATGTCACCTGCCTTTCCAGGAAAACTGCTTGCTTAAAGCCCAGCTCTGTCAATAAAGATTTGACCCCTCTTTCTTAGTAGAAGTTCTCTTTCTAGGACTCTAATTGAGTTAGAGATACATTATCTCCCTACATCTGTGTGTCAATTGGGTCCTTTGATAGAAAAATGGCTACTTTTCTTTTTCCCCCCCCCAAATCATTTTCCTATTGGAAGGTGGTTCAGCAATTATTTCTTAGTTCATTTTTCTGGGCCATAATGGGTTAGATCCATTTCTGTTGGCACCAGTACTTTTTGAAAGTCTCAATATTGTTCTAAAAATCTATTGATCTACACAGCTTAAAAGCTTTAGCACATCAAAGGCTCTTACCAACAATAAGCATGTCATGACTTGTGAAGTAGGCAAAGCACAGGTATTTTGTCAACTACACTGACATTTGTGTATCTCAATATTGATTAGGCAAAATATTATGCAGTCAAATATCTTTATAAAGTGCATAGAACACAATAGGGCAAAGCGTTCCCTTTATGTCTACTCATTCCTTTCTTAAGTCAGTGGAGGATGCTCAGATACCAAGAAACAGAGTATTTAGCCTTATGATTCAAGAGAGCACAAAAACCGTCCTTCTACCCCCAACCAAAGTGGAATGACTTGTTGAAAAGAAACTCAGGGATTCAGGCTCAAAATTTCAATATCTTGCAAGGAATAAACTCACATCATATAAGATTAGCTAAGTAGAATCGATTCTAGATTCACAATTACCATTAAACTCATAATTTGTCTATTCCTCCCTGTTGGTATTTGGATATCTTAAGAAATTATAAGTAATATTTAGGAGTCTATTGATTAGGGAAGGGATGGAATACAAAGACATAGAGACTGTATCAGATTTGCATAATGTAGAATATCCGGTGTGGGTGCCCCAAATCTTGTCATAAAAGCTTTCCAGTGCTGCTTTCTGTTCCTTCCTAATCTGAAGCCCCCAACCCTATCTTTTACCATTTGACCGTCCGCCCTCTTTCTGACACTGGGGGGCTCAGTCTTAGTGTGACACCTGGTGTCCTTATATGAACTCCATTTCATTGGATTATGTTTCCCACTTTGAGATCTGGACGTGTGCACTCTTGAAATGGAAATGGAATCTGGGCCTTTTTGAACTATCATTTAAGCTTCCGCACTTATAAAATCAAAGCTCCTATTCATCTTAGGGCTAACCTAAAATAACTGTTCTTCCCTCCATTTCCTGATTCTATCTCTACACCATCTTTGACAAGCTCACCAACCTTCAAGACTCGATCTAAATTCAACTTTTTGGGTGAGATTTCCCCATCCCCTGACCCTTGAAATCTTTCCCCATCTAACCTGACTTAGCATTTGATGTGCCACTTTCTTGACAAATTATATTTTCATCTGGATGCTCACTGCCTCCCATAGGCTGTGAGTTTCTTGGAGTGGAGATGGTGTCTTTCTCATCTTAATATGCCTTTTGAGGCCTAGCACAATGCCCGTAGTAAAGGTGGCCCTGAGGAATATCTGCTAGAGGAAATTCTGCCCTATTATTTACTTATCTGTTGCTGTATTTCTGACTGGGAAAATTAAGGGGAAGATGTCTATCTCCCAGGACCTGAATCCAAAGTCACGGTTTGCGGGTCTTGTTGTGCCCTCCATGCCTCCTCGGTGGTTATTTCAGAGAAGGTGATGAGCAACAGAAACCTGCCGACTGCCCCGTGCTCACCTTCTCCATGATCCTGTCGATCTGGCGGTTCTGTGTATCAATCTCATTGCCCATATCCAGGGCCATGTGACGGAGGTTTCCAATGATGCCGCTCACCTGCTCCAGGTTTTCATCCATTTCATTTTCTCGGGCATCATTTGTTACCCTGGGCATCAAAGAAGAGGTTTTAGAAGATAAGAAAAATTCAAATGCCCAGGACCCAAAGCTTAGTGAAAATCTATTGATCTCCAGGTATCAATCTGATCCTTTTAAAATCTCTGTTCAATATGAGAACATTTTAGCTTTTGTAGATAGGAAAATAATTTGTAAATGCATTATTGAACACTTAAATTTCTACTTTTAAAGAAGGCATATTAAGCAGATTAATATATTTACTTCTCTCAATTCTACCAACACATCATTTCCTCCCTTTATGATTATCCCAATTTTCATGTTTTAAGGCTAAAATCATTTTAGTTGGGAGGATTCCAGGTCAGAGAATGAAGGTGGAACCAGTTAGAAACTGTATTTTTTTTTCTGAAATGTCAAGCAAAATCTCCAAGACTCAAATTTATAAGAAAATCTATTGTACTAAGTCAGAGAGTTTCTCCACTCATCTACTTCTCCATTTGGGACCAACGTTAATGGGAAGAGTAATGAGAATAACAGTCTGCCCCTTAATCCTATTTGCTCCCAAAAACTCCAAAGGGAGCTACTTTTTCAAGATGACTTTTACTTGCTCAGGTTTCAATGCTATGTGGTTTTTAGTGACATTGTGAATAGGTGATTTCAAGGAAGAAAACTCTGATAAAATATTGTTTTGGCCTAAGTAAGGAGGGAGGAATTGGCTCTCAAAATGCCTTACCCAAAGGGAGTTCCCATTTTTTTCATAACTCAGCTTGAAGGTTAAGAAGGCACTTTTTTTTTTCTTTAAAAAAACTTTTAATTGCAATTTATTTATTTATCATTTTTATTAATAGTTACTATATAGCCACAGTTCACCCCCTGCACTGTATGGATCCATGCACTGCTCAAACTGTCTTTAAGAAAGAACTCATTTTTTTAAAAAAGAAAGAAAGAACTCATCGCTCAGGTGCAAGGAGTGTGGTCAGCTGACAGCTTCTCATTGTTCATTCCTTTAGGTCTGCCTTTGAGCTGAGGTCATGTTCTTCTCAAGGTGGCCCCAGCCGACAAAGCAAGACTTTTTACAAAGACTTAGTCATTTCTACCTACCATGGAATTCCTCCAATGAGCGACTTTGCTGTGGAGCTCCCAACGAGTTGGTCGATTGTTTGCCAGCTCTGCCTGATGGTCTGACAGCTCTTCCCCAGTCTTACTTCCCCCCTTTCCCTTCCCAGTGTTACTCTCTAATAAACCTTTTGCACTCTCTCTCATTCTTGGCACCTGCTTTTGACCCAGCTAATGGACAAGGGCACATACAGCACTAACTCTTTATTGTAAATGGTAAATACTTATTTCAGAATGTCTGAGTTTTCCCCACCTCAGATGGCGATGGGCTAAAATTTGCTCACAGGGGTTGAAACCCATCCCTCATGGTAAATCCCAATGTAGACTGCTCCTGTAGGATTTTTAAAGCAATCTAGGCCAGATAAAGTTAAAGGGGAACTTCCCAGGTTTCGTATATAGAAAAGAAGTTTACATAAATAATTGTCAGCAGCTACGACTTACCTCTGGTTCCATAGTTCTCAGCCTTCTTTTCATGTTAAAATCTGAGGGGTTCTAAAAACTACTGACACCTGGATCTCACTTCTAAAGATTCTGATTCAGTTGGTATGGAGTAAGCCCAGGCATCTCAACCTCTGCCCACAGCCATAACTACTGTTGGGTTCTGGTGACAGTTCTCTCCTGTCCCTTTAGGATTCTTCCTGCCATTGCTAGTTCATAGATGTTTCACCATTCCTTATTATTGACCCTGCCCACATCTCTGCATAATCTTATAAATTCTGTCCGATCAAAGTCAAGGAGTGAAACATTTGTTGACTGTCACACTGGTGCTGGATGTGGTCACGAGGCTGGCTTTGTCCAGTGAAATGTGGGCAAAGGCTTGATAAGTGCTTGCATATGGAAACCTGCCCCTTGGTGCTGCCACCACCATGCAATAACCATGGACTTTCCTGGGGAGAGGTCGCATAGAAGAGAAGGGACGCCTCATACCCACGGCCCCAGCCAACCACCAGACAAGGAAGCACTGCTGTCTTAGATCATCTTGTGCCCGCTGGCATGTAATGAGCGAGCCCAGGAGATGCTCTCAGAAGATCTGCTCAGTCAACACAGAGATTCAGAAGTAAAAAAAAAAAAGGTGTTTTTTTTCTTTTTTTGGCGGCACCACTCGACTTGTGAGTTCTTAGTTCTCTGAGCAGGGATTGAACCCAGAGCATGATGGTGAAAGCATTGAGTCCTCACCACTGGACTGCCAGGGAACTTCCCAGTGCTGTTTTAAGAACCACTCAGGTTGGAGTGGTTTGTCACTCAAAAGTAAGCAACTGCTATAGTGCCAGCTGCACAAGGCTCACCTGCGGATGAAGCCACCACTGATGGCCATCTGCTCCCGTTCGTCAACCACGCGAGCAGGCTGGCTGGCCACAACTCCATCCTGATTATTGCCCCAGGCTTTTTTGTAAGCATCACTTGATTTAAGCCTATGCAAAAAAGAGGGTGAGTGACAAGCAAAAGGGGCGGCGCATCAAGCTCACAACAATCATTACCTCTTCAAGCTCAGAACCGAACCAAGCGAATGAGTTTTAATTCGAGGCATTAGAGAATACCGATATATCATAATCCAGACCCAAACAGTTGGCCACCACCAAGCCTCAGCTACTCAGGATTTCATTTTTGTTAGTTTAGTTGGATTTAAGACAAGGATTAACGTAGTTGGAGGACATTCAATTCTATTTCAATGGTTATATTTTGAGACACAAAACACAGAAAAAAACATACTGGCAGACAGACACAAAACAAGACTGCCAAGTAGAGTGTGTATATCACACCACAGCAACACACTGTCATCAAGAAAAACATCCTGGACCAAGTTTTTACACACCATCATGCAAAGATTCCCGTTTTAATTGTTTTCCCCCAATGCATGTGCAGAACCAGGCATTCTCACTCTGCATGGAGAACATATAGGATTGGTGGCTGGCCAAGGGTGATGGTCTTTGAGTTGCCTCTAGAGTGATTTGAATTAGATAATATATCGGTACTTCCAAACAGTCACCATACATCCAGAGTTGATGTACAAACCTTTGTCCACAGAGACAAAAAGTAAAAGAGGCATAGTGAAATGAATGCAGGAAAATAGAAGAGAGAACAAGCCATCTAGCACCAAAAAGGGAAACCCCTCTATGTCTTCTTCATGCACCAGCTACAGGCATGAGTAGAAAGTGAAGCATTCTCATTTAAGCCAAACTACTCCAGAAGTTGACCATTCTCAAAAAAGGCACTAGCAGGACAGTAATAGCCTTCAAGAGGATTTGAAACGCAGGTTCAATAGCTTCTTCGCTGGACTGAGGGGCAGGATGGGAGTGGTTACAGCCGCCTACTTCAAACTATCCTGAGATGTGGTAGGGGAAAGTGGTCTGGAACTGGTGTGGTCTCTGTGGGCCATATTTCACTGAGCTGCCTTGGAGAGAGACTTAAAATCCAGGCATACCTACTGTGCCCAATAGACACGTGTGCAGCATATTTTGGTGGGTGTGTTGTAACTGAGCAATCAAAGATGTTTTTATGTTCTTTGCATAGTAGAAACCACACGCTTTTTAGTCCAAGAACAGAATTTCTTTTGGTCCCTTTTTCACATTTTCTATTTTCTATTATATGACACCAGAATTTAACCTTTTTTTTTTTTTTTTCTTTCTTTTACTGGAGGACCATAGCCATCTATTAAAACTGGCACTAAGACTAATACTTGCAGATTAGGGACCAAGAAACCCTGGAGACAAATTGGAAAATTGTACCGATGGAATTTCAGCAACTCCCACATCTAATGTATAATGCCACAGCCTTCAAGCAGTCAGAATTCACTGCTCTAAAGAGCCAGGGCCACTTAGTGGGACAGGATCCAAAAATGAATTTAATAGAGTTTAGAGTATGGCTTTGTTTTTGTTATTTTCCAAATCCCCATCCCCTCCCTCCTCACATTAACAGAAGTTATACGGACCTTGTGATGCTTTCTGCTATGTAAAATGTCTGGTGTACCATCTTTGGCAGTCAAGGGAGTGGGAAAGTTTGCGTTTCTGAACGAAGGCGAATCACTGCACCCACAATGCTGCACATAGACTCACATAACTGCGGGACATCTACCATAGTCCCTCGAAACATGCCGAGACGGGGCGAAGCCCTCAGGGAGTGCAGGGCACCACCAGCCACTGCGCTGTGACACATGGTTTTTAAAGCGTTATTTACACACAATGGGGCACACTTCAGTCAAGCTTTGAAGCTCAGTTGGGGTCTCTTGTGTAATAAGGAATTAGCGCCAACTGGTAGGTGGAATTGCCAGGGGTCATGATTTTATCTGAGCATTAGAATCTGTCACAGGGAGGGGGGGGCCTGCCTCCACCCTTTGTCCACAATTGGTGGACAGGAAAATATGTCTATGCAATTCATCACAAAATACGTAGACATGTCACCTGGGGGCAAGTGGCCACTGAAAATGATGAACAGTTAAATCCTGACTAACTGGAATGCATAAGAATGCTATTTTGGTGAATTACAGGACTTTCTTAACACAGTGGGCCATGGAGGTAAATTTAGTTTCAAGAGTGATGGCTGCCTATCTGTTAGATTCTGGAGCCACTTTCCTGCCTTAGAGTTTTAGGACCGGGAACATGATCAAAGCATTCCTTGGTTTTGGTTCTTTCAATATGTCTGATGGCCTTTCCTCTGCAGCTCAGCTTTCATTGCTTGGTCCACTTGGATGTGGAGCTTACAGAACAAAGACTGAGTGAGAGAATGCAAACTGCCTAGACTGACCTTTAAGAGAAAGGCTTTTAAGTCCTTGATGGGATTTTTCCCTTTGTTTATTTATCTCGTTTTGCTAAAAGTTGAAAGGAACAAGAATATAAATATACTTGAAGGTTCCACTTAGCTAGATTCCAGTTAGTCAGGTTTTACTGTAGATCATTCTTAAAAAACAAACAAAAAAAAAACCCCTTAAATTTATTTGCAAATTGAGCCCCTCCCCTCCTAAACAGGAAGTGGGATATTTTAAATCAGCCTCAAAGTTTAAAGGATGTGAATGGTCATATAATCAGCTAGAAATGACATTGATTTCTATTCTAAAAGCTAGGATCAGGAAAGCTTTTAGAAAAAGGCTTCTGTTCAAAGGGAAGTAGGAGGGGTGAGGGGGATCGGGTAATGGGTTTAATTTTCCAAATGCATGTTGGACAATCCGCTCATGCATTTTTTTTTTCTCACTGCTAGTCAAATAAGACTACCTTCCAGAACACTTATTTTCAGGTTCCTTCTGTTGCAAACCTTTATAACCACATGTCACATTTCTGCTACATTCCGAAAAAGCGTTGCAGAACCTTAACAGTTGAAAGTTTTGTGATGTCGTGCATGCAAAATCTACACATTTCAACATTTCGGCCAGTGTACGGGGATCTTCCAAAAGGAAGGACTGGAGAGGGATGGGTCCAATTTGGCTAAGGCGTGAGCACTTCTTGCTGAAGGACTCATTGCCTCTGCGTTGGGTGCAGCTGCGGCATCTACGGTCTAACCGAGGACCACATTTGGTAACTGGTGGGCAGTTGAAAGGGTGAATCTCTGTCTTACTCTCTAACTTATGGAATGTTTGTTTGGGCCAAATTACCTGTTACTTTTGCTTCTGAAAAATCAAACCTTGATACATATGTGTATCTCAACTTCCAAACTTACCCCCAGTCTTTTCTAAATCTGCAATTTTGGTTTTGGGGATTTAGAGAACATAAAATTCCCTGGGTGGTGCCTCTCTTTCTTGAGGTTAGTTTCTGTCTTGAGGTACACTTTCTGGAAAATGTTGAAACGTTCATCAATAAAAGTTGCTGACAGTGAAGCTTTCACTGTAGTATGCCTGATTTTTAATGCATCAACAGTTAACTCCCACTAATATCATCTATGCTATGAGATGAATGCATTAGATACGGTATTGATCTGTTCTGCATGCCACATACTCATCCTGCCTTTGCACCCAGCAGGAATGAGCTTGTCAAGGCTTGGAGATGGGCCTTGGGAAACCAAAGCTTCAGGCAGGCAGGCAGCACCTACTTGTTACAGGGACACACACAAAGCCCGCAGAATTTTCCTAGATCCGTCAAATTCTTTTCTGCTTCTTTCATGTCCTTATTGATTTGGTCCATCCCTTCCTCAATGCGTTCCAGTTGTTCTGATTAAACACAAGTATTTTATCCCCACAGAATGAAGCGGATGGAAAAGGACAAAGAAAAAAAAGACAAAACTTCAGACATTCACTTTGACATTAAAAAAAAAAAAAAGAAAGAAAGAAAGAAAACTGGACGCCACAGATTAGAGCTGGTACCCAGTACCTACTTGTTACAAGGACATATGAAAAGGCCACAGCATTTCCCTAAATCTTTTAAATTTTTCTCAGCCTCCTTCATGTCTTGGTTGATATGGTTCATGCCTTCTTCGACACGATCGAGTTGTTCTGGTTAGGACAAAGGGATGACAGTGTGGAATGAATTTTTTGGGGGTTTTCAACAGAACATGAGAAATGAAACGGAATTTGAAAAAGAGGGAGAGCTATTACAATGCATTGTCTGAGGAGATGCATTGCTAGAATCGGCTGTCGATGCCCTATGCAGCCAGGGGTGGAAGGAAATGAACAAAAGTGATGCTTATATAGTTCATATTTCAGACATGATGGGATGGGGTAGGTAAGCCTGCTTGATTCTGAATGTCCAGGAAAACAGCACAGCATATTCACTTACTCAGACACCAGTGAAACCCAAGAGAAAGAAAATAGGGTGTTAGTTTATGTTTTAGGCGTTCAAATGCAATGGTACTAGAGAAAGTGTCTGCTTCAACTTTAAAACATCTCTCTCTTTTGGTTTTTAGCATCCTCAACCAGCTAAGGATAGAAAATAATCCACTTTCTCCTTTGGGAAAAATAACAACTATAGTGATAATTAGCAGTAGGTACCATATCTTTTTTTCCTCCTAGCAGTGGCTGTCTAGCCAAAGCAGGCCATAGGCAGTTTTTGGTTTTGAATACTCAATTCACAGAAGCTGTTAAGAAAAGCAGTATCAGCACAGCAACATTACAGGTACTGGAACATTAAATTCCTGGAGAAAGGTGATGGATTGGAACATGAAACAGTACTAAGTCATCACTGCCAGGAAAGCTGACCTTAGACAGTATCTTAAGATATAGATTGATGGCCATAAAAACAAATCATACTTCTAGCTTGCCAGGGTTAATTAATCAACTTGATTAATTTTTCAAAAGTGGTGTCATTAAATTGAGTAAACTATAAGTTCCATGAAGTGATTTTTAAAACAGCTTTTATGACAATTAGGGCTTTCTAGGTAGCTCAGTGGCAAAAAAATCTGCCTGCCAATGCAGGAGATGAGGGTTCCATCTCTCGGTCGGGAAGATCCCATGGAGGAGGAAATGGCAACCCACTCCAGTATTCTTGCCTGAAAAATCCCATGGACAGAGGAGTCTGGTGGGCTACAGCCCTTGGGGTCACAAAAAGTCAGACGCAGCATAGCCACTGAGCACATAAAACCATTAAGGCAGCAGTGGGATGCCCTGGCCTTCTATTTACAAAACCTAATTACATTTCTATTCCTCTTTTCAACTATATTTTCATGCATGCATGCCTATGCCTCTGGGAACAAAGGCATGATTAGAATAAAACTGGTAAATACTTTCCTGTATAAAAGGGCATAAATAGTTACTTAAAAACAATTTCACATTAAACTGTCATTCCAAACTGGAGAGACTGTCTTCCATTTGGAAAATAAGAAGCTATTGTATTGTCCTTTGTGGGGCTGAGGAACAGAATTCAGCTTATTAGGAATCTGCTGCCTCTGCTCTGCTTTTCAAGAGACAGGGGAAAACAAAATGTTTATCCAGTATCTGATAGCCACAGGAAATAACAGTGCAGTGCTGGCAAAACTTTGCTGAATAAATGTAGGTATAGTCATATCTTTAAGAAAATTCTTGAAGGGGCTAAAAAAATGTATGACAACTCTACATTCCAGAGAATTTTGTACTTTTCCAAACACTTCATTCCAGTTTCCTTAAGGAATGCAATAAATTAGTCTGTTGATCAAAATAACTATCAAATGAGGCGTTGGTTTGGGGAAGAGGAGCTCAGTATCTTCAAAACACATTAAGAACAGACAGAATAGGGATGACAGCCCCCAACTGAGGAATTGCTGGCCTGAGGTGGACTGAAGCACATATCTGCTTTCAGTTCAGTTCAGCCACTCAGTCGTGTCCGACTATTTGCGACCCTATGAACTGCAGTATGCCAGACATCCCTGTCCATCACCAACTTCCAGAGCTCACACAAACTCATGTCCATAGATCTGGTGATGCTATTCAACCATCTCATCCTCTGTTGTCTCCTTCTCCTCCTGCCTTCAATCTTTCCGAGCATCACGGTTTTTTCCTATGAGTCAGTTCTTTGCATCAGGTGGCCAAAGTACTGGAGTTTCAGCTTCAGCATCAGTCCTTCCAAGGAATATTCAGGACTGATTTCCTTTAGAAAGGACTGGTTGGATCTCCCTGCAGTCCAAGGAACTCTCAAGAGTCTTCTCCAACACCACAGCTCAAAAGCATCAATTCTTTGGTGCTCAGCTTTCGTTATAGTCCAACTCTCACATCCATACATGACTACTGGAAAAACCATAGTTTTGACCAGACAGACCATTGTTGCCAAAGTAATGTTTCTGCTTTTTAATATGCTTTCTAGGTTGGTCATAGCTTTTCTTCCAAGGAGCAAGCATCTTTTAATTTCATGACTGCAGTCACCATCTGCAGCCATTGTGGAGCCCCCCAAAATATAGTCTCTCACTGTTTCCATTGTTTCCCCATCTATTTGGCATGAACTAATGGGACCAAATGCCATATTCTTAGTTTTCTGAATGTTGAGTTTTAAGCCAAATTTTTCACTCTCTTCTTTCACTTTCATCAAGAGGCTCTTTAGTTCTTCTTCATTTTCTGCCATAAGGGTGGTGTCATCTGCATATCTGAGGTTACTGATATTTCTCCCGGCAATGTTGATTCTAGCTTGTGCTTCATTAAGTCCAATGTTTCTCATGATGTACTCTGCATATAAGTTAAATAAGCAGGGTGACAATATACAGCCTTGACATACTTTCCTGATTTGGAACCAGTCTGTTATTCCATGTCCAGTTCTAATTGTTGCTTCTTGACCTGCATACAGATTACTGAGGAGGCAGGTCAGGTGGTCTGGTATTCTCATCTCTTGAAGAACTTTCCAGTTTGTTGTGATCCACACAGTCAATATTGACTTTGGCATAGTCAATAAAACAGAAGTAGATGTTTTTCTGTTATTCTCTTGCTTTTTCGATGATGCAGCAGATGTTGGCAATTTGATCTCTGGTTCCTCTGCCTTTTCTAAATCCAGCTTGCACATCTGGAAGTTCACAGTTCATGTACTGTTGAAGCCTGGCTTGAAGAATTTTGAGCATTACTTTGCTAGAGTGTGAGATGAGTGCAATTGTGTGATAGTTTGAACATTCTATGGCATTGCCTTTCTTTGGGATTGGAATGAAAACTGACCTTTTTCAGTCCTGTGGCCACTGACTAGTTTTCCAAATTTGCTGGCATATAGAGTGCAGCGCTTTCACAGCATCATTTTTTAGTATTTAAAAGAACTCAACTGGAATTCCATCACCTCCACTAGCTTTGTTTGTAGTGATGCTTCCTAAGGCCCACTTGACTTTGCATTCCAGGATGTCTGGCTCTATGTGAGTGATCACACAGTCGTGATTATCTAGGTCATGAAGATCATTTTTGTATAGTTCTGTGTATTCTTGCCCCCTCTTCTTAATATCTTCTGCTTCTGTTAGGTCCATACCATTTCTGTCCTTTATTGTGCCCATCTTTGCATGAAATGTTCCCTTGGTATCTCTAATTTTCTTGAAGAGATCTCTAGTATTTCCCATTCCATTGTTTTCCTCTATTTCTTTGCATTGATCACTGAGGAAGGCTTTCTTATCTCTCTTTGCTATTCTTTGGAACTCTGCATTCAAATGGGTGATCTTTCCTTTTCTCCTTTGCCTTTTGCTTCTCTCCTTTTCTCAGCTATTTGCAAGGCCTCCTCAGACAGCCATTTTGCCTTTTTTGAATTTTTTTTTCTTGGGGATGGTCTTGATCACTACCTCCTGTACAATATCATGAACCTCCGTCCATAGTTCATCAGGCACTCTGTCTATCAGATCTAATCCCTTGAATCTGTTTGTCGCTTCCACTGTATAATCGTAAGGGATTTGATTTAGGTCATACCTGAATAGTCTAGCAATTTTCCCTACTTTCTTCAATTTAAGTCTTTATTTGGCAATAAGGAGTTCATCATCTGTGCCACAGTCAGCTCCCAGTCTTCTTTTTGCTGACTGTATAGAGCTTCTCCATCTTTGGCTGCAAACAATATAATCAGTCTGATTTCGGTGTTGACCATCTGGTGATGTCCATGTGTAGAGTCTTCTCTTGTGTTGTTGGAAGAGGGTGTTTGCTATGACCGGTGTGTTCTCTTGGCAAAACTCTGTTGGCCTTTGTTCTGCTTCATTCTGTACTCCAAGGCCAAATTTGCCTGTTACTCCAGTATCTCCTGACTCCATACTTTTGCATTCCAGTCCCTTACAATGAAAAGGACATCTTTTTTGGGTGTTAGTTCTGAAGGTCTTGTAGGTCTTCACAGTACCATTCAACTTCAGCTTCTTCAGCATTACTGGTCAGGGCATAGGCTTGGATTACTGTGATACTGAATGGGTTGCCTTGGAAACTAACAGAGATCATTCTGTCATTTTTGAGATTGCATCCAAGTACAGTATTTTGAACTCTTTTGTTGACTATGAGGGCTACTCCATTTCCTCTAAGGGATTCTTGCCCACAGTAGTAGATATAATGGTCATCTGAATTAAATTCACCCATTCCAGTCTATTTTAGTTCACTGATTCCTAAAATGTCAATGTTCACACTTGCCATCTCCTGTTTGACCACTTTTAATTTCCCTTGATTCATGGACCTAACATTCCACGTTCCTATGCAATATTGCTCTTTACAGCACTGGAATTTACTTCCATCACCAGTCACATCCACAATTGGGTATTGCTTTGGTTTTGGCTCCGTCTCTTCCTTCTTTCTGGAGTTATTTCTCCACTGTAGCG